GTAGCAGTTGTACTCCCCCTTCCCCCAGTATTTGGTTGTCTGTCTATTCTACTAGACTGTAAGCTCCACAAGGGCAGGAGCTCTCTGCTTTAGCCTGTTGTTTTAGTCATCGCACCTAATAGAATGTGTAGCAGGGGATTATCAAATATTTGTTGAATAAATAAATATGCAGAAAGGTAAAAAATGTGAAAAGCAAGCAAACAGACAAGGAGGAGCCTTCAACTTTTATACTCTTTATGAAAGATTAGGTGTATAATTCAGTTGGTTCTAACTCATAGTTTTTCTTAGGTGCTAGGCTTGTCATCAACAATGCTATTAATAATGCTAAAATTCCTTTAACAAATAGGGGTATAAGGTTATCAGTAAATAAAATAAATTAGTGTTAGTAGTAGTTCTAGGTCAGTCCATAAAGGCCTGTTGAATGGATGAGGTGTCCCTAAAATAGTAGTTTTAAGCCCTAACATTTACTAAGTCCTATGACCTTTGAGAAGGATTTGGAGGCTATGAAAGGAAAGAGAATTCCAATTACTAGCAATTTCCAGAGCTTCATGGATGAAAGATATCATCAAGCCATGTTCTGATGTCTGCAATTCTAGTAGTGAGTGTGGGGTGGGCCAGAGTGATGGGAATGGAGGAGAGCCCAGAGACTATTCAAAGGAAGAAGCTGCTCATGAGCCCTGTGATATGCTGGCTAGGATAGGTCCCTTTTCCTTTTCTTCCATATATGTCCCTTTGAAAGTACGTGTGCTTAAGTAGAAAATACTGTCCAAAGTAATTTACAGAATCAATGCTATTCCCATTAAACCATCATTGACATTCTCCACAGAATTAGAAAAAAACTATTTTAAAATTTATACAGAACCAAAAAAGAGGCTGTATAGCCAAGACAATCTTAAGCAAACAGAACAAAGCTGGCATTATGCCACCCAACTTCAAACTATACTACAGGTTACAGTAACCAAAACAGCATGGTACTGGTACAAAAACAGACACATACACCAATGGAACAAGATAGAGATCTCAGAAGTAAGACCACGCATCTACGACCATCTGATTTTTGACAAACCTGACAAAAACAAGAAATGGGGAAAGGGTTCCCTATTTAACAAATTGTGCTGGGAGAACTGGCTAGCAATCTGCAGAAAATTGAAACTGGACCCCTTCCTTACAACTTATACAAAAATTAATTCAAGATGGATTAAAGACTTAAATGTAAAACTTAAAACTACAAAAACCCTAGAAGAAAGCCAAGGCAATACCACTCAGGACATAGGCACTGGCAAAGATTTTATGACAAAAACGCCAAAAGCAATTGCACCAAAAGCAAGTATTTGACAAATGGGACCTAATTAAACTAAACAGCTTCTGCACAGCAAAAGAAACTATCATCAGAGTGAACAGACATCCTACAGAATGGGAGAAAATTTTTGCAATCTGTCCAGCTGACAAATGGATAATATCCAGAGTCTACAAGAAACTTAAACAAATTTACCAGAAAAAAACAACCGCATTAAAAAGTGGGCAAAGGACATGAACAGATACTACTCAAAAGAAGACTTTTCTGCCACCAACAAACATATGAAGAAAGCTCAACAACACTGATCATTAGAGAAATGCAAATCAAAACCACAGTGGGATACAATCTCGTGCCAGTCAGAATGACAATTATTAAAAGTCAAGAAACAACAGATGCGGGCGGGGTTGCAGGGAAATAGGAATGCTTTTACACTGTTGGTGGGAATGTAAATTAGTTCAACTACTGTGGAAGGCAGTGTGGCAATTCCTCAAAGATCTAGAACCAGAAACACCATTTGACCCAACAATCCCATTACCTGGTTTATACTCAAAGGAATATAAATCATTCTGTTATAAAGATATATGCACATGTGTGTTCACTGCAGCACTATTCACAGGAGCAAAGACATGGAATCAACCCAATTGCCCATCAGTGATCCCATTAACCAATCCAAATGCCCATCAATGATAGACTGGATAAAGAAAACATGGTACATATACACCATGGAATACTATGGAGCCGTAAAAAGGAATGAGATCATGTCCTTTGCAGGGACATGGATGGAGTTGGGAGCCATCATCCTCAGCAAACTAACTCAGGAACAGAAAACCAAACGCCACGTTTTCTTCCTTATAAGTGAGAGCTGAATAATGAGAACACATGGAGACAGAGAGGGGAACAACATACACCAAGGCCTACTGTGGCATGGCAGCAGGAGGAAGTGCATCAGGAAAAATAGCTACTGCATGCTGGGTTTAATACCTAGGTGATAGGTTCATGGATGCAGCAAACCACCATGGCACATGTTTACCTATGTAAAAAACCTGCACACCCTGCACATGTATCCCAGAACTTAGGAAACAACCCCCCCAAAAAAAATTTAAAGAAAGAAAGCACAAGTTAGGAGGAAGATTTTTCTTTTATCTAGACTATAAAGGTAGCCATATTTTTGCAAGAATTTCTATATTAACATTCCATGTCAAGAGGAAGAAAAGAAAAGGAGATTCCAAGAGTAGAAGGATTGGAACAGAAGCCCTCTGAGAGCATGGGAGGAAAGGCAGTTTGAGGAGGTGATGACACACAGGGATTGCTGGAGAGAAGGGTGGATGCCCTCAGGGAATGAGAGGGAAGGAAGGGAGAAAAGAGAAAACGCAGGTTATTTGCCTGGGAACGAAGGACACAGACAATTCTGCTTTCAATGACCAGATTTTCTGACAGATATTCCCAGAACATAGCTCAGTAGAAACGGCAATCACTTCAGGCAAACCTTTCTAGATAGTATCAGTTTTATTTTAGAAAGGATAGCCTGGCTGCAAAGAGAAATCTAAGCCAGAAAACATCAAATTATGCCATGAATTATTTTCATGAAATGAGATACTGCACAGCACTCTGAAAAAAACTTTATTGTTAAAATTCCAACAAAGAGGAGCATTTGACATAAAAAGCACAGATCCTGAAGTCATGCTTATGACTTTAAATTTGTATAAACAACTTAATAACACTTGAAAATGTAACCTGTGGCCAGGCGCGGTGGCTCATGCCTGTAATCCCAGCACTTTGGGGAGCCGAGGTGGGCAGATCACCTGAGGTCAGGAGTTCAACACCAGCCTGGCCAATATGGGGAAACCCCACCTCTACTTAAAAAAAATACAAAAATTAGCTGGGCGTGGTGGTGGGTGCCTATAGTCCCAGCTACTCAGGAGGCTGAGGCAGGAGAATCGCTTGAACCTGGGAGGCGGAGGTTGCAGTGAGCTGAGATCGTGCCATTACACTCCAGCCTGGGTTACAAGAGCAAAACTCCGTCTCAAAGAAAAATAAAAAAAGAAGAAAGTGTAACCTGTTTTTTGTATTTTAAGTGAAACTGAGGATGAGGTAATTTGTGTTTCCATAACTGGATTCTTTGGGAGCATGAAGCATTCAGGGTTAATGCGAGAAAGGTCTCAAAAAGCAACTTTTATCTCTATTTCCTAGTTCCTGCCCCTGACTCGCCTGGAGTACATATTCTGGTCTTCTGAGCACTAGATTAATATTTCTTCGTGTGAATATTCTTACATTTTTCTTTTGGGCATATTCTATAAATTTAATTGGATGATGTTATTTCTACAGTAGTTTTTATAAAATTACTTTTGCCATTCTTAATTTTATACTGAAAGTGATTGCCTTTGTATATCACAGTTCACATAAGAAAATTAAAGTTAGTGAAAAAAAATCAACAAAAAAGGTTGCCTGAAATTAAACTCAGTGTTCTTTCCGAAGAGTTTTACGAATACCATCCATGCAGTAAGAAGCACAGGAATTCTGATGAGAACGCATTTTTCAAGAATTCATCTTCACCTTCCCTTTCGCTCGGGAGGTGGCCTCTTATTGTGGCTGTTGGATGTAACCAGTGAACCGAATACTTGAAACCAATTTGCTCGTTTGAGAAGAGGTTATTGATTCTCACAGCGTGTATATACTTGGAAAATTTCATTGTTTAACTCTGCATGTGGATGATTCTTGCCTCACGCTGCTTTAAGTCAGGCAGACTGGGTGAGGCATATGAGCTCCCTTTATTGAAGTCTTCAGAGAAGACTTCAAATTTTAAAAAATTTAAAAAAAAGTTTAACAGGTCTGCATGTTACCTTGAATAAAAAGGACTATATGTGCTTCTTGGAAAAAGTCTGGTTAGGTGATTTTTTTTTTTTTTTAAGCATATGCTTATTTTGAGGGAGGATGTTGTTGGGAGAGAAATTTCTGTGTATTTTGTACAGAATTAAGACAAAGGCTGTAATTGATAAAACACCAAATATTGGGCACTTATATTCTTGTTTATTAAATAATAAAAGTTCAACTGAATAATTAAGATGTAACTCTTTGGATGGGTGAAGGTGAACCTCAGCTTATCTGAGGTCAGCTTCTCTTCTAGGGGCTGTTGAAGAATATAGGTAAGGTCATGAAGCCATGTGTTGTTGTTTCCCTTCAGATGCTGGAAATACAGGCCCCACCCCACTTCAACCCCTCACTTCCCCAGTTTTTCTCTAGGAATATTATTATTGGCCCAGGGAAGGTTCATTTCAGCAAAAAGTCTGCCATTTTGAAGCAATTGGAGCAATTTATTAGCAAGAGGAAGCGATTTATTTTTCTCTGTCACCATTCATAAGATGATCATTATGAACAAGGTTGCTGATAAATCCTTGGCCACCAAAGAGGACTTTAATTGTGACAAGGAAAGTTTCTTAGTGCTTAATGGAAAGAGAGTTTTCTGCCCCTTACCTGTGTAGGTTCATGGTGAGAGATAGACCCTATGGGTATTTATCAACCTGAACTGGGAGTCTTCTTAATATAGAGAGTTATGTTTTAGAAATGAAACTCTTCGGGGTCTTGTTTGGGGTGAGTAATTAGTGAAGAAAAGAAACAAGTTAATATTTTTTTTTCTCAAACATCCTGATCTTTGACTTTTATCTTTTTTTTTTTTTTTTAAACTGACAAGTTACTTCTCTTTCAGGCTCCAAGCTTGATATAGAAGACTATCATACCCAGAGAGGGTAACTGAAACGAAAGAAATTACTCCAGCATCAAGCTAAAGACACGCCTTAAAGAATGAGGAGGAGCAGAAATCTTACCAGCAAGGCCAGAAAGAAGCTGTGCATGAACAGGTGGCAGTATGAGCAATACTTAATTCCCTGTTGTGATTACTAGCACATGAAACTTGTGAAGCACATAGCCCCAACTAAAGGATCTTGTGTTATAATTTTTCAAAGACTGTACAGTAGGCACACCAGCCATACAAATACTAGAAATCAAGTGTTATTTCTAAAGTATCATGCACTTTGGTGATTAGCAACTCGGGGAGCCATCGGCTGAATTTCTTGAAGAAACCTCCAGGGAGTCAGCCATAACTCTAAGGGTAAGGCAGCTTTCAAGAAGTGTGATTCATCTTCTGTAAGTATTAGGGTCACCTAGTGCCACTCTAGCCCAGTCTGCAGCAGGTCACCTGGAAATGAAATTCTGAGACATAAGAACTAGCAGGAAAAATGTCCCACCTTGTTCAAAGGATGAAGTCAATTTAAAGGGATGAGGAGAACACTGGCAGAATATTTTAAATATATTAACTGATTTTCCCCTTCTGGCAGCTCCTGTTGCCTCTGCTGCCTCCCCCAAACCCATTTAGATATCATTTGTTCTATCAGGAAGAAGTTTCACCAGAGAGCAAGAAAAAAAGCCTTTTGATTTTCCAAAGTCAAGACCCTGAGGGCACTTGGCATAGAGACACTAAGCTGAACTGATGTAAGGCTTCCCACCCCTTGTAGGACCTGAAGTTTTTCAGGTGTGCTGTGAGGACAGTGTTAGAGCTAGGGGAGGAAAGGGAACTGTTAGATGCTGGTGGGGAGGAGGGAAGGGAAGGTGGAGGGGGAAGAGGAAGCAGAGACAGCTCTTAGATGCTGGTGGCTCCCTTCTCCTCTGAGAAAAAGACTCTACACCCTGCTCCCCAGAGGAGAGGGTTGTGGACGACAGAACTCAAGATGGATTGGGGTTGTCATCACCTCCAAGCAGAGCTCAAGAAGACTGCAAAATCCACAACAGAAATGGCTGAGTGGTATCCAGGGGACAGATGGTCGGAGCCAGCCTCAAAGAACTGAGTGTACCCCAGCACAGCTCACAAGTGTTAGAATGAGTCTTCTGTGCCCAAAAGTCCCACCGGAATAGTAATGAAGGACCCACAGAGCTTCCTGGTGCCCCTGTGGCCTGAAAGCAGTGCAGTAAAGTTTCCTGTGCCAACAAGGGGCTTGGCAACAGTTGAGAGAAAATGTGCCATGTCTGAAGGAGTCTCATGCTGGGGAACAGCTCAGTGGTGAAAACCCACCGGGAATAAGGTCATATCAGCCAAGGCTGGTGCTGAGATAGCATCACAAAGAGATGTGTGATGCTATCTCCACCCATTGCTCTGGTACAGTGTAAGACCTCTGGAAACCAGTGAAAAGAGTGGGGGTGCAGAATTGAGGGAAATAACATTCTAACACTGAAGATAGGCTCAAAATAGATAAGTGGTTACAGAAAAATAAAGTTTCACTTCTTGTACAATTGAATTTGTTGATTGAGTCCTGAACCCAAAGTAAAACCAGTCATTCAATCAATAAGTTAATTTAAAAAAAAATCAGTCATACCTGACAAAACTATTTAGCTCCTCCTTTCTGGAATTTAGGAGAATTGTAACAATTCCCAATCAAGATTTGTCTTAACAGCCTAATACAAATCTTGACTATTGCTGTGTAGTTAGTTTATGTGCAGCCCCAGGCTCGTGGGTGTAGCTCAGCCTGCATTGCTTAGTAAGTGCTGATATGTGGCTGGCACTCTTCTAGGAACTTCTACCATTTTTCCTCATTTAATCCTTTAAATAGTATCTGTGAGACCACATATTATTCCCACTTTACTGATAAGTAAACGAAGACTCAACAAAGTGAAATCTGAGAGAATTCTAATAATCGTCAAACATTTCCTTTGTGAAAGTTGGTTCCACATTTTGGTGGGTAATGCCCAGCACTTCCTTCCTTCTTTTCCAACAGTCTCTTGTTTTCCTGTGCATTCTTCACAGGCCCTGTCCCACCTCTGTGCCTTTGCTCCAAAGCCCCTACTTCAGATACTGCTCCTCTTCCTGTCCTTTTGACATCTTCCCCAGTTTCTAAGGTGCAATTTCAATTTTGTCTGTTCCCTGACAGTTTTCCAAACCTCTCAGCTATTATTATCTTATTCATCCTCATGCTCCTTCAGCACCTCACACATCCATGATAGCCCTTTATCAAGTCACCTTTGTATTGCAGGTTTTTGGTCACGATAGTGTCAGCCGCTAATTTGCAAACCCCAGAAGAGCTCCATCTTGTGCAGCCCCAGCACCTACAATGAATGTAGCATCCTAGGCTGGCAGGTATTTTGGTGCCTATTACATAATAAAGCCTTAACACATATTTGTCAAACTAAATTAACTTAAAATTCTAAAACACATAGTTAGTGCAACATGAGACAGATGCTTACAAGAATGTTTAATTGGCAATGTCTCTGAATTCCTCACAATTTTCTTCTTTACCCCTAACTTATTTCAATTTTTTTCAAACATACAAACAGTTTAAAGACTCATTCATTGAACACCCGTGTAATGACCACAGAGCTTCTATAATATGCCCTCTATTATATTTATGTTATAATATCTGTCCATCTACTCATCCTGCTATCCATCCATCAATATGTATTTTTTCCTCACTGCCTTTCAAATACATCCAACGTATGAGAGACCTTTGACTTTGGAATCAGATCTCAGATTAATTCCTGGATTCGGCACTTACTTGTTTTGTAACCTTGGGGGTGTTGCTTAACTTGAGTCTGTTTTCTCTTTGTAAAATGGGGGTGAACAATGATGTCTACATAGGTTGTGGTGAGGAATAGATGAGACTGTATATAAAGGGCCTGGCACATAGTGTTTGTCCAAAATAAAAGGACAGCATAAATATTTGAACCATCAGCACCGATTTGCAATGATTTGTGCTTTTGGTGTTCTTGCTTCCAGCGTCTACTTTAGGCTCAGAAGGAAAAGAAGTTTACAGGAGACAATCACTCTTATACTCTTCCATGGTCACAAACAAGAGGTCCCTGGATCTATAGGTGAGCAAGAGGTGATCTGGGATTTGGAGTTGGTACTGCATTCTGAATTCCCTGACACAATTAAAAGGCAATAGAGCTAACAGTAGAATCACCAATTATCTGCTTTACCCAGGCAACATGGGGGATCTTAATATCTAAAATTCAGAAGAATTTTGCCAAAAATGGAGATGATCAGGAGAGGACGTCAGAGCTCTGCCACAGCCATAACCTGCCTTCTGAGCCCTTGGGTGCAGGGATTTGAATTTTTTCCAAGTGTAAGCCCTCATTAGTGGCACTCTCCACTCTAAAGCTATAGGATATCCCCAATGCGTTAAACTGTTTCTTAATTATCTGTAGGTCATCTTGCCCCTGAAATGGACCTGGAAAGCTATGGCTAGAGAATGGAGGAAAAGATCACTTTCTCTGTTTCTTCAGACCAGGCATCAGTTGGGATATTGGGATGTCGATAAAAGGAAATCTCATCCTTTGTTTTCTGCCTATGCTCTCACCATACCCATTCCCATGTCTGGTCATCATAGCGTCCATCACAGCCCTTAACTGAATCATATTGAGTACAGGGTGGTGTGAATATCATGGTTTGAATACAAGCATGGTCCGTCCATGTGGATTGTTTTTTGCAGCCCACTTAGACTTAAGCCCTCTTAATTTCAAATTTATGTTTGTATGTGCCAATAGAGCTGTCCCTAGATGAACTGGAAAATGCCTGATTTCTTTCTCTTCCTGAGGGTTTGCAACTTAGATGACATGTCACATTAATCTGTGGAACTTTTTGAAAGCTATAAATGCCTGCTTCTTTGAAAGCCTCATCCTTCATTCCAAGAGTCAGAGTGAGTGGGTCTTATGTTATCCCACTGCAGTCTACATTTTAAGTATCTCCACAAATTTTTTTTTTTTTTCACAGCCTTGGCTAAGAGCTGCCTCTTTACCATAAAGCTGTATAGCTCTTCTTTAAAACAGTGAGAGATGAAGTGTGTCTTCTTTTGAGATGCAAAATCTTGGTTGACCTTTTCATTTTTGTTTTGTTTTCTACTAGTTGATGACCATAAAATGGAAAACTAGCTGAAATGAAAGAATTAGGAATATTATCAAAGTAGAGTAGGTTGTACATAACATGGAAATAAGGACAACCCAGTAGAGCATTTGAGAAGATGCTCAGCTAAAGTGAAAAGGAGCTAATAAAGGTTGTCCCAGTCAGCTAGGAAAGCAGTGCTCAGATTATCAGGTAAGGGTATCACCTAAGACAAGAAGGCAGATATGCAAAAGGAGTTATTGTATTTTGTCAAATCTAATACAATCATATTTTACATTTTAACATCCCAGACATCTGTTGGCCTGGTGGCATTGAGATGTCGTATCATTGCCCATGCAGTATAAATTTTGTTGTTAGTCACAATGGCATAACTGGTCAACTTCAACCCCTCAAAGTTTCAGTCAACAAACTAAGAAAAAGTAAATCCTGATTTACTGGAAAAAAAGTAAATCTACTGTTGTCGTCTGCTGGTTAGATTTTTTAAAAAGTAAACATCAATGCTTCTAGATCAAGTGTTAGTGCTTGGAAGAAGATTCAAAGATAATATTAGAGTGTTTTGTAAATAAGTGTTGCATTCTCAATGCTCTTGATGACATGGATACCAATATCATACAAAAAATGGGAACAAAGGTGCCATTTCTGAGTTGAAAAGTGACTCAGAGGAGTTGGATACTCTACTTGTGAAGACATTTGGAATAGAGTTTAATTGGCAGCATTTTATTCTGTCTTACTGGTACATAATAGTGGTGCATCTTACAGCCACTGGTGTCTTAGGTTCAGTATAACATGATATTTGCGTTGGTCTTTACAGAGAAGAATATTGAAGAAGATTCTGAAGTCCAAATAGTTCCCTGAAAAAGGCATATGTGAAACTATAGGAGCCCAGTGAATCACAAACCTGTAGGTGTCTAACTTCCATAAAGTCCAGCTATCAAGATCTTAAAAAGAGAGAGGAACCACCATATATTTAGAAAATGAAATAACATTTTAAAAAGAAAAATGGCTGGGTTTCATTAAGAAAGAATTATTTTATTGGATTTTTTTGAAGAAGTAAGTAGGTATGTGAACAAGAACTGATGGTGGTAGCTAGGCTGATGTTCAAAAAGTCTTTCACGGGGTCCATTCTGGAAACAGAACAACAACAGAAAATAGTCATCACTGAATTGGAATTGGGGTGGGGGTGCAGTTTGGAGATTTGGTGTCTTGTAAGCACTCCAAATTTGTTTTATAAAATTGTAACATCTAGGGTTGGAGATTGGCTTTTCACTCCCTCTTGGGCTGGCCTGAGAAGCTGTAATTTTCTCTATACTTTAAGACCCATAATTCACAAGCCCCATCCCTCCTCCATTTGTTGCCTTTAAATATCTCAAAAAAAAAAAAAAACTTTCTTATAAACCTCAGGTTACTCTTCTCCAGGCTGAACACCCCTTTAATTTTATCATAGTCTGTTTCTTTGAGAACCTTCCTTTCCTTGAGCCTCTCCTCCAAATATCCTCCAATTTGTCTACATCTTTTATAACTAGCTAACATAGGTCCTCTGTGTCCAGGGATCTTAGTTTATGGCTATTTTCTGAGCTTAATTATTACTAGCAACTCCTTCATTCTCAAAAGTGTTCTTATTAGAATATCATTTTTGGTAAACCTACCTAAAACTGAACAGAATGTAATATCTAAGAGTGAGCTGACTAGCAAAAGTGAGGGCAGAGCTCTCACCATCCTAAGCCTTGGTACACTACAGGTGCAGCCAAACAGATGCGTTAGGGACTTGGCCTGTACATCACACCACTGTCTCATATAAGCTTGTCTCGTGTAAGTGCAGTTCTCAAGTCTTCTTGGTCCATATGTCACACCATTGTCTCATATAAGCTTGTCTCGTGTAAGTGCAGTTCTCAAGTCTTTTCCACCCTTGCTGCCATGAAGCCACATCTGCCCTATCTAGTACTTGTGCTGGTGGTTTTTTGGCATTTGTTCCTACTAAATTTCATGACATTATGATTCAACCCATTATCCAGTCTGTCAAGAACTTTGTCATCCAAAATGCTGGCTTCTCCCTTCCAAATTCCTGTTACCTGAAGATATAATCTTGCTTTTCTATATCATTACCCAAATTATTGATTTAAAAATACTGCATAGGGCCAGGCTCAGTGGCTCATGCCTATAATACCAGCACTTTGGGAGGCCACGTGGGAGGATCACGAGGTCAGGAGCTCGAGACCAGCCTGGCCAACATGGTGAAACCCCATCTCTATTAATTTTTGTGTCTTATTAAAGATACAAAAAATTAGCCAGGCCTGATGGCGTGTGCCTGTAATCTCAGCTACTGGGGAGGCCGAGGCAGGAGAATCGCTTGAACCTGGGAGATGGAGGTTGCAGTGAGCTGAGATCATACCATTACATTCCAGCTTGGGTGACAGGGAGAGACTTTGTCTCAAAAAGAAAAGAAAAGAGAAAAAGAAAGAAAGGAATAGCCCTGTGGCACTTTGCGTCTTTCCAGTTTGACCTTGTTGGGGCCAAGGGGAAGCTTCCCCCTTGCCCTCAGAGGGTGCACTGAAAAATCAACTTATGGTAAGGCAGATTAATAAGAGAAAAGGCATACAAATGTATTTAACCATGCACACAGGGAGAATCAGAGTGATTTCCCAATATCCCAATGAGGCCCAAACACTTATATAACCTTTTAGAGGCGAGGCGGAACATGGAGAATATAGGTAATTCTGTTGAAGGGCATTAAATGATTACCAGGAAAAATGAATGAAGATTTGGGAGAATTAGTGGATTGCAGAGCAGGTGGGTGGTGAACAGTGATTGACTTGTGGTTCTCTTTGGAAGTTGAATGAACCTGAGAGACAGACATTGTTTTGTAAAAAGGCTGGGCCTGGTCCAGTTACCTTCTTCCTCTCCCTTCTTGAAATAGATGATAAGATTATAGGGAAAGAAAGGAAAAGCAATTGTTCATCTCGGTGATTCCATCTAATCCTTATGAAGAAGGGGAAAAGTCTCTTCCAAGGCCTATTGATTTCAAAGGGTTTCCAATTCAAAACATTCACTATATCAGGGAGCCCTATTTTGGGGTGAAACTCTCTGTGCTCCTTCAATGTCTATTCACATCTTGGGGATCATTTAACATCACAAGCTTACTTAATTGTAGTATCATTAAGGCTATGTATTTCTGGGTTTTGCACGAAAATGACTTGAGAGACCTTTGCAAATGCCTTTTAAAACTTCGAATGTCTAACGTAGAATGCCTTTTCCTAATCTATGCATCTAAATAAATAAATTTATAAATAAATATATAATGAAAGAAAAAGGATAACAAAACTGAGATGAGTCTAATATGATTATTTAGTGAGGGCGTATGGGGGCCTTGGAAATATAATGACTGGCACTTAGGTCAGTGCTCAACTAATATTTCTTGATCCAAACATAATTTTTCATTGACAAATGAGCAGAAGATCTTGCTTATGACTCTTGCTATGAAAAAAGCCTATTTCTTTACACCTGTCAAGGACATCTGCTTTGGGAAGTCCCAAACACAGCTTAGGTCCACACCAGAGTATGAATTGACTATTTGCTAATCATGTAAATATTATTGCTGAAACGAAAACATGATTGAGGCTGGAAGTGTGAACCAAATGCAGAAAGTGCCAGCTCTTTAACGTAAGCAGTTAATTAGGCATCATCTTTAAGTCTGGTGATTGGTCCCAGGGTGTTAATCAAATCAAATATCACCAGCTGCTGAGAGAATGGGCTCTTTCAGGAAGTATTAGCAATACTAAGCAGGAGAGGGAAGTGGCATTAAAATGGGTTTTCGGAGGCTCCAGTAGCTAAGG